TTGTTTTTGTTGAAAAATTTAATCTTGCTTCACCAAGCTCATCATCACTTCTTCCTTCTGACTGGCATCATCTGAAGGCCATTTTAATAACTTAAAATTAGGAATTTACTCTACGTATACTAAATTTAAAATTAAACTGTAAAATTACTGCATTGGGTGTATTGGCGTAGAACTTTTGTCTGAAGTAAATAAAGCCGGTTCAAATTCGTCAGCTCTCGGAATTGAAACACTGGTATTTTAAGGCATGACGAACACCAAAAAGCCTTGATATTGAGCTCCTCATCTCCGGTGGTCATCGATAATAAGCTAAATTACCTGAGTTCTTGAAGGAATAAGGTCGTTTTGCTGATAATCAAACAAAAACAATAACAAAATAAGTGACAATAATGGTAAGTAGGTAGTTACACAGCGTTACAACGTTCTGGAATTACTCTTGCATAAGTGCAACAGCAGACAGAACCGATTGAATCGATAAATCTGTTTGGTCGGCAATGAATCACTATCAAGCGCAAACCAGTGAAATTCTCTCCATCGTTATTGTGTCATGTTTACTTCGTTGTTGAACTTTAAAGAAACTTGAGCTTTGCAGCAGTTTACAAATCTGTATATGCATAGCAGGGCAGGGGTGGTGCAGTGGGAAGTAGCGCACTTCACACACGCGTCATTGTAGTCATTGTATAGGCCACATACGGTTCAGATAGATATTGGCCTAGGCCAACTAAGCCTTCCATCCCCCCGGGGCCGGTTAATTGGTATCAGACTCGTTTGGGAGGATAAAAAGCACTGATTTGTACATCGTCTGACCACCACAAGTCATTGTGTAGGCCACATACGCGTTCAATACGGCACTATGATTCTGAATGGAAGTCGAATGCGTGGGCGCATCCATCTGAAAGGATTAATTAACGGACCAAGACATTATCCTTATTTATCCTTTGTATATGCATAGCAGCAGGTGGTTAGATAGAAGTCTTTTTTCCACTATTATTATCCATTATGAGACTCGAAGAACCTTTTTTCACATTCTCCTATTACTGTTCTTTTCCACATTCCGAACTCGTTTCCGTAGAAGTGAAAGAAAGCGGAGGGTACAGTTGGTGTGAGGTGGGGGAGGGAGTGTCCCTTCGGCCCGAAACTACTTGTCTGGGAAACAGTGCAATATTGAGGTGGTGCAGTGCAAGTAGCGCACTTCACACGCGCATGCTCACGGGTTCGGATAGATATGGGCCAGATAGATATTGGCCTTGGTCAACTAAGCCTTCCATCTCTCCGGGGTCGGTTGTTTGGTACCAGACTCGTCTAGAGGATAAAAAACACTGACTTGTACACCGGCTGACCTCCGCAATTCATTGTATAAGCCTAAGTCTAACCATAAGCTACTTGTCTGGGAAACAGTGCAATAGCACTGATCATTCCCGCTAGTCGTCCCATTTTTGCTAAGCATGTGCTCAAACTAGGCCACGATGAAGCCCGCTCTCGGAATTGTGTACTGGTGACGAATTTTGGAGAGCGATAAGCCAATACATGGTGATAAGCAGTCGAGATAGGGCGTAATAAGGGCTCAGAGTGTGCCAAAAACGTACAGCCGATTTTCAATCGTCATAGTTTTTCATGAACTACCAATCTTGAATCAACATCTTGGAACATCCGCTAGAACTCATTTAAGTGATTCTTTCTCTGCACTCTACTTACCTCCTCTCGAGTAATCGCTGCATGAAAGTGTGACCAATAGATTCTAACAATTTTGTAAATGTACACCCGAACTGCGCCTGATTGGTGGATTGTGGAGCTCAGCTTTCATGTCTCGACAGTCCACCAATGAGGAATAATGTAAGTATCGAATTCGTCTACACATTGACAGTACGCCTACCTGCAACCTTGCCTTTGACCAGCACCGTTTGACGATCGTCAGAATACGTTTTCTCCTTTGCTTGAAGCCGATGACCTGATCTCATTCAGATCCCTCCGCATTCTTATGACTCCACCGACGATCTCTCGCGAAGACCTGCTCGAGTTCGAGACTTTCCTGTTCGATGCTGATGGGGTCTTATGGATGGGCGATATTCCAATTCCGGGAGCCATTGAGTTCGTGTCAGCTCTCCAAGAAGCAGGCAAGCGTACCTTCATTATAAGTAACAATCCAACGAAGACGATGGACCAGTACATGTCCAAGATTTCGCGACTGGGATTTCGAGGTTTCACCAAGGAAAATGTAGTGAACGCTGGTGTCGTGATGGCTGCATACATGAAGAATCGACAGGATTTTGCCGGGAAGCAGGTATACCTCCTGGGCACTGAAACGCTCAAAACGACGTTGGAAAGCGAAGGTAATGTTCAATGTTTTGGCACTGGACCAGATCACTTTAGAGATTACTCGGACCACGATTTCGTCTTCAACATGGACTTTTCGGCAAAGCCAAAAGCCGTTGTGGCCAGCTATGATCCTCATTTTAGTTACCCCAAAATTATGAAAGCAGTCAACTACCTGCAACGAGATGTTGTCGAATTTTTGGTAACCGATGAGGACCAGACGTTCCCTGGACCGGTCCCAGGTGTTGTTCTTCCCGGCTCCGGTGCCATTTCGTCTTGTATTCGGGCTGTATCTGGTCGTACACCATTAGTGTTTGGAAAACCTCATAAGGCAATGGCTGACTTTTTGAGGGACAAGGGGCATATTGACCCAAAGAAGACCGTGATGTTTGGAGATCGACTGGATACAGACATTCAGTTTGCAAATGAAAACGGTTTTACCAGTTGCCTAATGCTGACCGGTGTGCACTCACTGGACGATGTGGTCGAGGCTGAACGTCGTGGTCAGAAGAATCTCGTGCCAAACTATATATTTTCATTCCTATCCCGATGAGCATTCGTTCGTTTCGATGTTATTTGTGATTGAACCAGATTTATGGAGGCAAGATTCACGAAATATTCTGATTACCAACCGCCTATGACTACTGTTGGTCCTAATCGCCTGGAACAGTCCCCATAGAGCATTCATAATTTGTATGGTCGAGTTTACAAAATACTATTGAGTAACTTGATTTCCGACGTTTCAAGGAGATCCCTTCGAGAAAATTTTGTATGCTTTGCCCACATACCCTTAGAAATACCCACAATTACTAAGGTTGGCAGTCCCGTCTCGAAATTCGTCATCATTTTTGTTGTCGTTGGGATTGTAGGACTAGGATGACTTCTGACTAAGAACTTCGAGCAAGTACTTGTCCCAAGTCCTCTCCCCAGGTATCCCCATGTATCAGACGTTTGCGGTGCATCGTTTGCGATTCGAGTAGAGAATAGGAAGGAAAGAACGGTTAGCCTAGTCGATGCATTACCCAGATTGGTTGATTTTGTTATGGTACAGCGCCATTTGCCAAGTGTACACAACTTTTCATTTCTTTTCCTTCTACTCGAGCCGTTCTATGACGAATTTCTTAAGTTGGGTAAGGGATGACTAAGCAACCCTATATGAATGCATATTTGTGCATTTTTCTGACGGAAATGGTTGAATTTTAACAGCCTTTCAGAATATTTTGCATCGTGAATTATGCCTTCAATGGGTTTGCCAGAGCTTATCTGCGAGAGAGCTTTTTTATTGACTTTATCAATTCATTATAGATGTGTTGTTGTTATGTTGTTATGTTGAAATATGAGAAATGGAATATGAAAATATACTTTAGATTGTTTCATGTATGCATAATGAGCAGTGCGAATCATTGAATAAATCGGTTTAAAGAACATCGTGAAGTTCTTCAACATAAAAAAAAAACTGAAGTAGTTTACTTCTGACATCAAAGGATGGTAATGATCTCATTCAAGATGAAAAAGTACCTGAAGAGGTGATGAAAAGCGCCCTCCGAATATGCACGGGATACGCCATGCACTCAATTTGCGCTCATAATCGTCTTTTAATGAGATCATACCGACAGGCTTCTAGACAGACATAAGAAAGGCACCAGTTCTTGCATCTAGGAAAAAAAGAAAAAACTGAAGCGGTCCATCTCAATTCTGCTTTAGAGAAAGGTCTCAAAAATAATTCCGATTCTCATTCAGACTTTATATGAACGAGTGTGTGCCATGTACAATAGTTGCGATGGTCAGTCGATGTGCAAGTCGGTATTCTTAGCTCCCAAACGAGTATGATACCGACTGACCAGCCTGGAGGAATGGAATAGCTATTCAACCTTAATGAACAAATTCTGAAGTTTCGTTCCCGGGCCATACTTGTAGTAATAATTGGTACCATTTGACCCTACCTCATCTCTATATTGCCATCACTTTATTTCCCGGAACTGGTCAGACAATCCCTTGGCCGAGAGAGGTGGACAATGTGTCTAGCTCAGCTAGAGTCATTTGATAGGAAAGAAGTGAATGAATTAATGACGAAAAATCAATTTTTAAAATGATCTTTATAGGATGAGTGCTAGGAGGTTAAAATTTCCGTTGTCTCCTTTTCCCACAAACGAATGACAGCCCTGGTTTTTTCTCATTTCACTATCTCTTATCTTCACAATTAGTAGTCCGACAGCATGTGTCGTATCCTTTGTATCGTTTTCCAGTGACTCTCACGCCATAGAGAGAAGCCACGGGAGCAGGGGATCGTCCAGAAATCGAAATGGATCACTGTTCCCCCCCCCCCCCCCCCCCNGATACAGAGCCTGTTCGCCGAAAAATCCGTTTATCTCTCCGAATCACACTGTATGAGGCCAATACGGTCTCTTTCAAAGTTCCACGAAAGTTGAGGATAAAGTTCCAGGTGTTAATAAACCCGTTTGAGGGATGCGCCCCCGCACTCGACTTCCATTCATAATCGTAGTGGCGTAATGAGTACGTATGTGGCCTATACAATGACATGCGGTGGCCAGCCGATGTACAAGTCAGTGCTTTTATACTCCCAGACGGGTCTGTTACATATTAAACGACCCCGGAGGGATGGGAGGCGTAGTTGGCCTAGGCAGTCGATCCGGGATACGAACCCCTGACCATGCGTGTGAGATAGCGCGCTACTTGCAACTACACCACGTCTATGTAAATGACCTTTTATGAAACATTCGGTTAAGTAACTACGGTATTCACGAAAAAAATAAATAATGTAACATAAGACCACGGTCAAATAATAACACTCAATTTGTTATAATTATTAGACCCCCTAACATAGGAATTGTAATGGGTCATGTTCGACAAACCTTAGGGAAAAATGGGTGGGCAAATGAGGACGGATTGAAATTTGTTTCAACAGTGATTGTGTGATTGTAGCGAAACCTCTTTCTGTTCTAGATCAACCCAAATGCAGCGTATGCCTTTTCATATGAACGGTTTGAATCAATAGTTTCTCATTTAATCAGAATACGCTTCGAAATCCGATTTCTGAATATTGTTTTCCCCGCGAACCGAGATAAGAATGTTATCAAAAACAAAACATACTGTGAGCAAAAAGCATAGCCCCAGTTGCGGAAGAGAGGGGCCGAGGGAAAGAGGACAGTGTGGGGATCAGTCTCGGATCCGAACTCTTTGGATAGTTTTGACTGTATATTTTTAATTCTTTTACTGACAGTAGACGGCAGACCACCCGAAAAGCACAAATATTGCGGGTATAAAAATATCCTCAACCTACTTGATGGGATTCTTCGACAATGGGCGCAATAGTTTTCTACTATATGCATTCCACTACCCTAATGAACTCGCTTTCTTCCTGGAACGGGAAAAGTTTTCCATCATCATCTCGTTTGAGAGAAAACCTAATAGTAATGGATATGTTGCTATCTGACTCCAGACCACCCATAAGAGCGCAGTAAATAAAAAGCATAGGTTACCGTTGTTATTGGTCAAGAGGACAGCAGCCGGTACGATAGCCAGACTTCTTCGCGAGAGGATTGCTATGCATTCTTGAGTCAGAACGATCCAGAGGCTTTTGTTAGCAAGCAGCAAGGATGAACGCAACAGTTACTAGAGTCCCTAATTCCGAACATTAGTCTCTACAACTATTCACAATTCGCCATCGATCTCCAGTGGAATGAATGACTGACTTCTTTCGCATTTCTTTTCCTCCAAAAAAGAAGCTAGCGATTAGTAGCGATCAGAAGACGCGGGAGTCCGCTGGAGCGAGATCCAACGGAATACCACCATTGGAATGAGAGACGAGGCAGTGATGTGAAGCCAAGCTCTTTCAATGTATCCTGAGCCATTTTTGCTACAAGTAGTACAGTAGTACAAGTACAGTACAGTACGAAATGTGAATTGCACGCGGTCATATCAGAGCAGCCCATTTCCTTTGACAGCTCCTTGGAGCTTGCTTGCCTAGATTCTCTTCGTGTAGTCGCCCCACATGTTCAAAGCGACTTCAGTTTGCATTTCGACGTTGGTTCATCTTCGAGATCGTAGTTTCCTTCGCTGAATTTTTTCTAAAACCATGGTTGGCAAGCCCTATCGCTTATTACATCTTCCCCTTCCGCATAACAATATTCCGGCAGGTCACAGTCGCCGAAAGTCGCAGACGGAACGGACATGACGACAACTCCATGTCCCACTCTATATGTACGAGGGTTTCGTGAAGTTGACTTCTGGCAGCAGTAGGTACTGCAGGTGTTTAGGACCAGGAGTCCAGTGAACTTCCCCTCACTAGATGGTCGTTCTAAAGAAACAGTTAACAATGACATGATGCATAATCAAATAGTTAATATACAGAAGAGCCCTATCAAAGAGTAGGTGAATAGCGAAAAATAGTATAAAGGTCTAAGATATTCGGAAATCCCAGCCCTCCTCATACATACTCATATGTGAGCTGCATAATAGGAGTAGACAAATTCGTTGTAGAGTAGAGAGTTATTGAGAAAAAAAAGAGCAAGATAAAGATTTGTTTGTTCTTGGCGGCCGCTCCTGAAAGACTGTTTGACATGTCCATGAGCGGACGTTTTACACTGATGTTAAGAGCCCAGCGGGTCCTTTATAGCCTATTGTCAATGCAGCATGGTCATAGATCGCCATCTCACCCCCACATTCTTGGCATAGACTCCTTGTTTTGGACTAAGCTTCAGTATCCATCGAGACGAACGCATATCTTTAGCTATCTGGGAAATCAGTTATATCATGCGTCAAGACGTAACTCCATTCATGCCTTGGCCCATTCCTACGACGTCCCATCCCTAGATTTGGGCCTCCATCCTTCAAGCTCCGCAAATCTTCCAAAAGGTCTTACAAGAGGCATANTCCAGTTAATCGAGCATCCCATTAATCATCCAGCTGATAGTAGTCCGATCGATGACGCCACACTGCTAGACAGATACAAGCCGGTACATAATGAGTCGTTTAACAGAAGCGTAGCGGCTCATAGATCAACGTGAATAGACAGTGGGAGCACCGGACGAGTTGTCCAGCTCGCAAACCGAGTGGAATGAGCGGAGCGATGGGGGAAAGATCGCGCCAAACGACCGCCTCCCACCCTCCCACTGGCGACACATTATTGATCGCCTCGTTTGCAATTTGCGGCGGTTCTCAATGCGGCGTGCTTTTTGTTTGACTTTGTAGACTTTCATACATCTGCTGATATTTCTTGGTCATTTAAGGTGGTTTACTGATTCTCGGTTATATGGAAGTTCTTAAAATGAGTTTATTGTTTGATATTTAAACCTGCCATTTGATCAGTTTTCCTTTAGTCGTTCCCTCAGCGAGGATTTCTTTTCGATTCCCTAGCACAGGATGAATGCTGCCACCAGTCCTACTCCTAGCCTTTTTCGAAGGATCAGCCGGAGTTTTGTGGAGTATTGGTGCAGAATAGCGGACGACTATCGAACAGTTGCTAAAGAGACTGCAGCCGCCTGTGTAAAGAAGCCGTTGAAAGCGGGTGAGTTATTGTTTGCTGTTTTAGGTGTACTATTGCCTAAACCTACACACTGAAAAAACGCCAGGCGAGTTTTTTTTTGGCAAATTCCCCACTGTTTTATCTAGTTCGTTGCGGGACCCACACTATCATCCCTTTACGGTAGCTTCACTTTGACGCTGCGTTTGAATTGCTATTGGAAGAAGTAATGGTAATAGTGTCCGCACACATGAAAGATCCGAAT